GGAGGAGACCAGGCGCCGCCGCGAGTTCTGCGACAGCATCGAGGGCTACGGCAGCGTGTGCGCATGCGCGGAGCCGGCGCCGCTCCAGTTCAACGCGGAGCCGATCCAGGGCAGCCGCGTGGCCGGCGTTCCGGTCCTCGTCATCTCCAGCAACCGGCCGCACTACCTGTACAGGTGCGGCCACAACCGGCAGCAGACGACGCTGTCTGTGCCGTGTACACTGTGCACTGTGCAGATCTGCAGTCTTCACTGTCATCAGTTAACTACATCGCTGGTGTATTCTCGGACTGTCGGGAGCAGATCGTGGTTTTAATTGTTGGGAATACTTTTCGTCATTACTGATATGAGCTGGTTTGGAAAGCACGAAGAACTGTAATGGACGCAATAGGATTTACCTGCATGGAGGGTTTGGAATCCTTAGCTTAAGAATTAAGAAAAAGCGATTTCATTTAACCTCCCCATGCTTTCAGCGTTTCATCATGGTGGACGGTTCTGTTGTGTCGAATACTCAGTTAATTTCCTAAGCGTTGTAAAACGGTCATCTTGTCGCCATGCGATTTAATCACTTCGTAAAATGAGAATGGGTCACGACGGAGAGCCCTTTAAAAATGTTCTTTGTTGACAGTAGTAACTTTATGAACCTCTAAAGTGTCGAAATTCAGCGACACTGGACGCTCCCTAAAGATCCCGTGTCCTACACAGAGAGTGTGGCGCCTGGCGCGGCATTGGCCATGGCTCATTGTTCCACCCGCCAGCGACCGTTCGCCAGCGATGCATGGTGTGTGGCGACGGAGGCGCCCCGGCAGTTATGTCGCCATTAGTCTCTCGGGCCGCTTCATTTCTGGGCGCCGGCAGCGCAGCGGTGGTGGCATTATGCTGACGTGCGTTGGTCCTTGGTCGGCGCTCGGTGAGCGGCATGCTCGCCTCCTCGCAACATAAGGGAGCCGAAACCTTAGCGATGTGGTGGCGCGTCGCAAACCATTCGAGATCTCCCTCGTGCGGGCCTCAACTCCAGATTGGTTCTCGCGCCGGCACCTTTATCCCCACCCCCTCCCCTCTCTGTCTCTGTCTCTGTCTCTGTCTCTGTCTCTGTCTCTGTCTCTGTCTCTGTCTCTTAGTCTCTGTCCATGTGTCTCTGTCTCTGTCTCGTCTCTGTCTCTGTCCTCTGTCTCTGTCTCTGTCTCTGTCTCTGTCTCTGTCTCTGTCTCTGTCTCTGTCTCTGTCTCTGTCTCTGTCTCTGTCTCTGTCTCTCTCTGTCTCTTGTCTCTGTCTCTGTCTCTGTCTCTGTCTCTGTCTCTGTCCTCTGTCTCTGTCTCTGTCTCTGTCTCTGTCTCTGTCTCTGTCTCTGTCTCTGTCTCTGTCTCTGGTCTCTTCTCTGTCTCTGTCTCTGGTCTCTGTCTCTGTCTCTGTCTCTGTCTCTGTCTCTGTCTCTGTCTCTGTCTCTGTCTCTCTCTCTCTCTCTCTCTCTCTCTCTCTCTCTCTCTCTCTCTCTCTCTCTCTCTCTCTCTCTCTCTCTCTCTCTCTCTCTCTCTCTCTCTCGCTCTTTCTCTCTTTCTCTCTTTCTCCAGTGGGCAGGGTGAGAAAGACACCAAATTGAATCATGTCCTGCTGTGTTCCGGCAGAGCGCTGCGCTCGTTACTGTCGGCGCAGGGCGTGGACCCCAGCATGATCACCATCTTCATCGACGGCTACTTCGACGAGCCTCTGAAGGTGGCTCGTCTGTTCGGGCTGCGCGGCATCCAGCACACGCCCATCGGCACCAAAAACGCCCGCGTCAGTCAACACTACAAGGTGGGTCAGGTCAGAGCGGATCTGGTCAGATGAGGTCAGTGGAGGCCAGATCACGATATTTTAAGACTGGTCAGATCATGCCAGGTAAGATAAGATCACACCAAACCCGGCCAGATCAGGTGATGTTGCGTCGGGTCAGGTCAGGGCATGCTAGTGCTGGTCAGAACAGATAAGGTCATGCTATCCCAGATAACGTCAGGTTATCCCAGATCAGGCCGGGTTATACCATATCAGGTTAGGTTATCCCAGATCAGACCAGGCTATCCCAGACCAGACCAGGCTATCCCAGCTCAGGTCAGGTTGTCCCAGAACAGGTCAAGTTATCCAAGTTCAGGTTAGGTTACCTCAGATCAGGCTAGGCTATCCCAGACCGTGTTGGTCGTCAAGTCATGTCACGCCAGCTGGGGGCAGGCTGGACCAAGCTCGCGAGTCGGTCAAAGCTTAGTAGCCCGCTCAGGTCAGACCGGGCGCGGTTCAATCAGATCAGATCACGTCATATGAGATGAGACCAGACCAGACCAGACCAGACCAGACCAGACCAGACCAGACCAGACCAGGCCAGACCAGGCCAGGCCAGGCCAGGCCAGGCCAGGCCAGGCCAGGCCAGGCCAGGCCAGGTAAGGTAATCTTAGGCCAGGTAGGAAGTAGCATATCGTTCTTTTAACGTCTTTAAATAAAGGAAGTAGATCGGGCCTTCGCATCGGCGTGCGATGCGGGCGTGCGTCCCCCTTCCCCACATACTGGGAGGGGCTGTTTTCCACGGAATTGAGCAGCCCTTGGTGATTCACTGGGATGGCCGCCTTCGACGCCCGGTTGGCCGAGCGCTGATGATGCGTCACCGAGACTGGTAGTCATGAGTAAAGGCGCATGCTCCACTTCCAATTGCATCAGGCCCTAGCACACTCTGGACTGTTGGGACCATGTTAAGGTATGATGTCTCTAAAGCATATGCATGAATGCTTCATTTGAATAAACTCACAATAGCCAAAGACCTCCGCTTGACTGTTTGGCTGAAACGATACTTGGTCTGCACCAAGTGCGTATCCCAAATACGATGCCACGGAAGTGAAGATTGACGTTGCAGATCAATTATTTGGGTTGCAAATTTCACTTTGCCGAACCAGCCACTGCAGCTTCTATGTCGCAACGTACCTTGTGCGAAATTATTGTCTGGTGCGTACCGTAACAGCTCCCTAAAAATCGCGGGCAGCAACAACCAGCGCACGCCAAACCATAACCCGCCTGCGGCCACACCGCCGGTGTGGGCACACCTGGCGTCAGCTGCGCCGGGCGTGACCGGAGCCGCTTCCGCCCCGGCCACCAGGCGGCGCTGACGGCCACGTTCAACCTGTATCCCGACGGCGGAGCACGCCATCCTCGTCGAGGAGGACCTGGACGTGTCGCCCGACTTCTTCAGTTTCTTCAACCAGACGCTGCACCTGCTGGACGAGGACCGCACGCTCTTCTGCGTCTCGGCCTGGAACGATCAGGGCTACGAGCACACGGCCCAGGTGTGTATGATAGGGGAAACGCGCAGTTAAGGGACGCCCCCGGACCAACTGGCGACGGGGTCAGGGGACCGGGTCAGGCGCACCGCTCGGAGGAATGTTCTAGGGCAAAGTCACGTCTGAAATGCGGACCCTAGGCAGGTCAACAGCCAGTGTACGCTTAGATGGGAGAGCTTGCCACTGCGCTGCGTCTTCCGTGGAAAACTCGCCGTTCAGGCACGTGTTTAAGGCATACTCACGATGGATGTATGCAGACAAATATCGGCACGCGCTGTGCAAACAATTTTCAACACCAGCCTGAAAGTCGGGACAAGTTCTTGTGATGTGAATCAGTGCTGCGAATGTCGGCGCTGTGTGTGATATATCATCAGTGCTGCGATAAGCCACGCCGCGAATAATATTTATTTGTGTGGTGCTCTACGTTTGATGTTGACAGTAGTGCGTCGTAATATATGAATGCGATTTTAAGAGTGTAAGTATGCAGCTGATCAGGACCCATTATCCGTCATACATTTATCGCACTTATGAGCGCCAGTATAATCGTGCATTTATGCGCGATGTGTGATGTGTCCATTAAGCGCCCAATCTCAGTACGCTCACGTGCTCACCGAAACCTGCTGGATGCAGCATGATCGCTTGCACTCATAAATGATGATCAGGTTTCGATAGCTGCAAGATAGTTAGTATATACGGCATATATGTACATAGTTTGAAATCGCCGCGGGCCCCGCAGCAGACGTAAACACTGACGTAATAGGCGCCCAGTTTCCGATGAGCGGGGGCTGTATGCTAATGTTCTCAACACAATTCTTCAGCGGATGACAAACGCTCCACGGTCAGTGGCTGGGCGCACGACTGATGGTGATGACGGGATGATGTGGCTCTTGGTCCCCCCTGTATTAGTGCCGGAATCTGGACCGCGTGGTGAATGATGCCTTGCTGAGGTCGCTGTTATGCGAACTTAAATTTTGAGCGCGTTTTTCATGTCCACGCCACGGGACGTGTTTACTGTCAATTATACTTCAATCAGGAGCGCATTCTCCCACGCGCTGCGTACACCCGTTATGTTGCAATGCCAGCGCGTGTCGCACTCGATCCAGGCTTGTCCATCGCGGTGTCCCGCTTTCAACACTCTTCCATCCCCTGCGCTGTTGGCAAGGCGACGGCGAGCTTCCTTTCGGAGCGGGCCGCCTGTTGCACGTGACCGCTGGGAGTGAATGCCAGCGGCTGGTCTGCACCGGCCGCCTCCCCCAGCGCCGTCCTACAGCGCGGCTCTCGGGGTCTCCCCGGAACCCTGGCCTCCCGCCGGCCGCCGGCCGCGGGCGCCAGGGCGCCTCGGCGCCGGGCTTAATTTCCGCTGGCGTGGCGCGACGGGCCCGGTTATTGGAGTTATGCAGAGCTGTGGTGGCGCGTGACGGAGCGGCGACGGATCGGCCGGTGGCGGGTGGCCCGGGGCGGCAGCGGCACCGCCGTCGGCCGGTGGAAGGCTGCCAGAGCGCGAGGTGTGGTCGGGTGGGGTGGGCTGGGCTGGCGACGCCGGATAGGGCCGCAGGATCACGCGGCATTGGGTGCCGCATGATCGTGGTGTTGATGTCTCCTAAAATCGTCACGGCTCACCAGCCAACTGTCGGTGTTTAAAGCAGTGCTGTGGTAACATGACGATGTGTGTCAAACATTTCCTGTTTCTCTGTCTCCCCCTTGTATGTTTGTTTCTTGCTCTCTGTCTGGGCTTGTCGGGGCGAACATCGAGCTCTGCACGCTGACACTCGCTCCCCGCTCGCCACAGCAGCAAACTGGACAGTGAGCTGGCGTCGGACCAGATTCTGACGCCGTCCACCCTCTCCCCAGGACGTGTCCAAGGTGTACCGAGTGGAGACGATGCCCGGCCTGGGCTGGGCCTTGCGTCGGGACCTCTACAAGGATGAGCTGGAGGCCGTCTGGCCCACTCCTGACAAGGTGAGCAGACAGTCGATGTTGACATGTCACTCAGCTGGTGGACATATGTGGAATATACGCATATGTCCACCATACGACACTATGGTAGAGGAATAACTTGAGGTCAAGCTCTAACCGAAGACGGTTTGGATGCACAACAAATGCATGATGGTGGCGGGAGGTTAGCTGAAGCTCTTTGTGTGGTATGTGTTGTATGAGTATTGATCATCATTTTGACGTCCAGAGAGATGGTTTAGAATCCATTTCGCAATGCTTAACCGATTCCATAGTGAGCGCGATTTATCCTGTTGAGCAACATATACCAGCGAGCCAAGCCTCAAAGAGGCCTTTGACTTGCCACTGCTTGAAGTCTCAGAAGCTGCAGAGCTGCTTCAGTACGATCTCTTCAAACACAGGAGATACCTTTGCACAGACAGGTGCAATCTACAGCAGGGGATCAATTGCGTTTGCCGTAACACAGTTGTGAGGATCTCTGGGCCGGTAAAAAGGGTTAGAAATTACTTTTCCAACATCAAAGCATAGCCACAGACAATATCCCATTACTGTCACGGCAGCTGGTGTTTTGAGAGGTCTGTTCAGCTTCTCGGCGTGGCTCGGATTATGGAAACCTGCTGGCTTTGCTCTCTGTTGCTCTCTGATCATCGGCATGTCGCTAAGCCGTGTAACGAGTCCGTTCAACGTAGCGATGGGACTAGAATGAGAAAAAGACCGGTAGCATTTGCCCTGTAACGCTGCGATGGCATCGACAGATGTGGGACTGGGACATGTGGATGAGGATGCCGTACGTCAGAAAGGGCCGCGAGTGCGTGATACCGGACGTCTCGAGGACGTACCACTTCGGCTCTACCGGCATCAACATGAACTCTTACTTCCAAGACAACTACTTCAAGAAGCATGCCTTCAACGTCAAGCCCCACGTCACTCTCAGCAACGTGGACATGTAAGCGTGCCGGACACTGCGCAGCGATGCTGAAATACTTTGTGTGCTGATCGTATAATTTTATCTGTTTTACATATTTGAATGTGAGAGAACGTTATGAAACGCACGTGGTCATACGTAGGCTTGGCTGTTGTAATTTAGGCCGCGAATAATTCTGCATACCCGATAACGAAAAGATCAGAATAAGTACACAACATAATAAATACGAATAAGTCATCAGAATAATATTCAATACTAAAGGATAAGTACGTAGCAATAGGTGGGCAAGTCCAATGCCACTAAAATTATGCGCCGAGCACAATTGTTGCTACCGATTGATACTGCGTGACGAAATGTTTCGCATTTGTCCGTGATACGTTGTAATCTTGGTTATAGGTTAAAAAGGGAAAAGTACGAGCAAGAAGTAACATCACTGCTGAAATCAGCGCACGTGCTAAACCACACCAAAACTCCATGCGATGCTGATTTTATCCCTTCTAGTCAAGCGGGAAAAGTTAACGTGCTTTACATCAAGATGAAGAAAGAAAAAGATACGAAGAACTGGCTTAAGGTGGCCAAGGTGAGAAACCAAAGAAACTATTGCATTGTCATGCGTTTGTGCTCGGGCGCACGAGGGCTTAGGTGTAACATGTGGTCATGGGATTTCTCCTCTCACCGATCAACGATCTTTGTGTCATGACATGAAATTCCCAGATGATGTTCAAGACTACATGTCTCCAGCCGCGCCCTCAGGCACAACCAGTGTTCGTAGGACTGGCCGTAGTGATGCTCCCGATCAAGCCTGAGCGATGCCCGTTTCCGGCACCTGGCCACCTCCCCCTGACGCCCCGGCCGCGTCCGCAGTGCCTGAAGGTCTGGGACCTGGACGCGCGAGGCTACCACCGCGGCATGTGGCGCATGTTCTTCGGCGGCTCGCACCTGCTGGTGGTGGGCGTGCCGTACTCGCCGTACTCGCGGCACAAGCCCGCGCACTTGGTGCCGCTCGCTATCGACTCGGACTCGCGGGGCACGGACAGGTAGCGCCAGCGTCGCTAGCGGTCCGCCTCATGTGATAACCTGTGACCAGCCTACTACCGACTGGCGGTCGCGAGGGTCCGCCTCACGCGTGAGCGGCGCCCCGGCCCTGTTCGCGGCCCGTACTGGGTCGCCGTCGCAAACGGTGCGTCGGGGAACCAGCGAGCAAACGCTGTAAAACTAAGCTGGCACTGTGTCCGCCTCACTGGCATTTAGCCGCCTGTAGAACCCGCCCTGTTTAGTGTTGTCCGAGTGTGCGCCGCTATGTCGGGAAGACGCATGGTGTGTTTCAGCTGATACTGTTGGTGACGTCATGCGTTGCGTGGTTGTGGTGGTCTGGAAAGTGGCCAATCAAAGTGTATACGTATACGCGCCTCAACGAAGACATGGCATCGGTATGTCATGGTCAAGCTCTGGTAGCGTTCGTGGCTCTGCCACCCTTAGCTGATCATGAAGGAAGAAATATTTATGTGATGACAACGAATAGTTATAAATACTCGCCCTGTTCTTCGACTACGTCTTAGAAATGCGACGTCAGCACTTGGCCTTTGATTCGGATCAATCTGTCTATTCCAAGGGTCCATGCAGGCTTGTGGGGCCGGGGCAGATGCATGCGTGGAGATAAAACGGGTATGTGGTCGATTGTTGTCGATCTGCTTCTTCCAGAAAGTCGCATGTGCTTGCGTACATTTTTGCAGCTACAATTTTGGAGTGCTGGAAAGGAACTAAGCCGCGTCCAGGCTTATTGGGAGCTTAAAGATTGCAGCGAATCGAGAATTAGCAAGTGACATTGTGCCGGCAAATGTTCAGAACTTGTTCCTGCTCGCGCGTTTGAAATATGGACGTTTTATTGGCGCATTTGCGTATGACTGCAGTTGCAGGGCAGTAAATTGAGTCCTATATCTACCCAATTGTAACGTAATCAAAGCCGGACAGTGATCGGTTCTGTCGAGGTTCTCGAGTCGTGTATAGATTCGTGACGCTCAGACTGGCAAGCGGTATCGGTGCATCGTGTTCTGATTAGGTGCGGCGGCACCATGTTGGGATCTCACCACCTCGTCAAGGCAAGCCAGCAAGCGCGCCTGGTGGCGGAATCACACTTTTCTAAGCTCCGTGATACCAGCCTCGCGCGGTGATAGCTATGGATGCAGCGTATTCGGATTGGTCATGGCAGCACCATGTCCGGATCTCAGTACCCTGAACGTAGTTGAGTGCCAGCTTAGTTTTCAGTTTAGTGTCATCTCTTCGCGCCTTCATTCCTTAGCAGCTGCAATGTTTCGTCCATCGCTTTTTTCGTCGGGGCCCCTGCTTCTCGGTATCGGCGGGGTTAGGGTAGGGGGGGGAGGGTCAGGCTGCTTGGCCACGTGATATGTGGATCTGTGAAGATCCTACCGCTAGAAGGGCGTCGCTCAGACCGGGCTGATGCTGGCCTATACGCTCTGTCGAGACTGTGCTGGGCTTGCGTTTGTGAACCACATGTGGCGACCACGAGTGGTTGGGTGTGGCCCTGACCCAGGGAGTGCTCGTGCGCCGGCCCTGGTAGGGGGCGTGTGACGCGCGTCGCTGACATGTCGGCTGTGGCGCAGCAGCACGCAGCACGCACCTGTGCGTGCCGCGTCCTTACTGACTGTAATACAGCTGTGTCAACACTAGCGTCTTTTACGGCGATGTTACGCGGCAACGAACTGAGCCCATCTTGTTTGGAACAGCCTAGATGGGCTCTGGGGAATGTTCGGCGGTTCGAGCAGGCTAGCCGATGCAGGTGTCTTGCAGAGTTATTTCTCCACATATGGAAACGCCCGTTGGATCGAAGGACGTTGCCGTCTAGACCAGCTGGCAGGCGCACAAAACTGAGGCTCGACAGTTCCGGAAATACCACGGACGCGTTTTCACAGGCGACACACCGCCGGTGGACGGCGAAGTGTCATAATATGACGTCACCAAACACATGCACATGTATTCTCCGAAGTTTGAAAAGTAAAGCATTGCAGTGAAAGCCTTGCATCACAAGTCAGACAGGGCTACCCATGAATCCGCACTTTCTGTACACGAATTAACACCACACCACAGTACACCACACGTTGAGCCCGGTATAAGATAAACTGATGAATGTACCGTATATAAAGCGTTTCCAAACCGCACTCTCTTTGAACTGACAACTTCCTTTTCCATGGATGAAGGTACACACCAATGGTAAACATATACATGCATTATTTAATGCACCGCAAATAAAACATTTCAAAACGGCATTTTCTTTGGAATGGCCCCGTCTTAGGGATAGTGTAGACGGTGCAGGTTCAGAGAAATATACACAGCCGCATGCATTGAACGAAACGGAGCTTCAAAAGCAATGGTGCTTTTGGACGGACGTATTCCTTCTCTGCACAACGCAGGAGTCGAAATGAGATCATACCACTGGCAGAGGATCGCCTCACCTGATGTGACGAACTGCGCTTAGACGCCGATCTGACGCCGCCCCGCCCGCTGCTCACAGGTAGTTAACGCGACCCTCTCGCCATCTCTGCACGTCAGCAGCGTCCCCCCCTCTCTCTCTCTCTCTCTCTCTTTCATGAGTAGCGAGATCGTCATCAGACAACCTGAGGTGCTTTCATGCCGTGACTAGGGGCTGACTAGGAGCTGACCAGGGGAGTTCTTTGGACGGAGAGATACAGGTCGACTCATCGCAATGAGATAATACAGTGAGCATCAGCCCATCTTCCTCGTCGTCTTCGCCTCTGGCCGGCCCTCCCGCACGGGCGGAAGGGCGGCAGCGGCGTGAGCAGCCAGCCCGAGCCCAGACCAGCGTCCCATGGGGCGCCTTCAGTCTCGCTCCAGCTCCTCCAAGATGTGGTCCATCTCGTCGGTAGGGTCCAGCTTGTACTCCACCGCGCGCTCGATGGCGTCGGTGAACAGCTTGACCACGTTGGTGCCCTTGGAGGCGGACACGTAGTAGAGCGGCATGCCGTTCTTCTCGGTGAAGTTGAAGGAGCGGGAGGTGACCTCGGCATTCTCGTCGATCTTGTTGACGGCGCATAGCGCCGGGATCTCCGGTCGATGCTCGCGCAGCTCGCGGTACCACCCGGCCAGGCCCTTGTAGGTCACCTTGCGCGTGGCGTCGAACACCAGGATGCAGGCGTGCGCCTGGTGGTAGTAGGACGGGTGCATCGACTTGAACACCTCCTGGCCGGCCGTGTCCCAGAAGTCGACAAGCACGTCACGCTCCTTGACGCGGCACTCGTGCCGGAACAGGTTGACAGCGAACGTCGAGTGCTGGTGCGGCTTGAAGTCGTCCAGCAGAAAGCGCTCCATCATCTTGGACTTGCCGACGGCGCTGTCGCCCAACATGATGACCTTGACCGTCAGCCGGCCGTCGCTGGCGCGCTGGCTGTAGTCGATCTCACGCTCCGTCGCCATAGCGCCACCCGCTGAAACTGGCAGACGGCTCTCTAAGTGGGGCGCTCGCTCACATCCCGGGGACGCGGCCGGCCGGCACGCAACACCGGCCCACCGCTGTGCTACCGCGCTCAAGTTGGCCCCGAGCACACAGGTTAACAGCGAGCGTACTTCGTGTGTATCCCGATTTTAAATTGGGTGCAATGGTTGAACAGCAAGGTGGTTTCGTACAGAGTACGTATATTTCATACAGCACAGCCTTCTGACAATACAGTCATTACACATATATGTCTGAAATCTTATGACACACACTTATGATCTACTCAGTCGCGAGAATTCGATGACACGTACGGCGTAGAAAGTAAACACTTCCACATCGCGGCAGAATGTCTCCCGACACAGGTCATCATAAATCCATAATGAAACAACTGTTTATGAATGAATCCTCAAATCACGACGCACATAAAACAGGCGTATCACAGAGCCCTCGTTCCTTCCACGAGATGGGCGTATTTCCCCGGCGCGACCCGACGGCACCACCTGTCCGCCACCGCCGCTGGCCGCGTCACACGCCACTGGGTCGGCTCCGGCTCGGCGCCGCTGCCGCCAGCCGTTAGTTGCAGTGCGTCTGGATGAGATTGCGCATAAGACTGACAGTGGCGCCGGTCAGCAGGACGAGCAGCGGCGCGAGCGCGGCGTGCAGCGGCAGCCCGGCCATCGGGTACTGCAGGTGCAGGCACAGACACGTCTGGAAGGCCAGCTTCAGCAGCACGGCCAGCACCGAGGTGAGGTTGGCGGTGACCTCGCGCCAGCGGTCGCCGCTGCGGCACGGCGACACCATCACCACCAGCGCGTACAGGATCATGATGCTGTCCAGGATCCACATGGGGATGAAGACGATGAACCAGTTCCACCGGGTTCGGCCGTCCAGCCGCAGCACGAGCAGAATCAGGAACACGAGACTGAGGAACCAGGTGACCAGCGCGCGGTGCAGCACGGCCATAGCGTCCACCAGCAGAGGTTGTCGAGGACGACTCAGCTGACGCCGTGCGTCGGCCGGCTGAAGGCCGACCGGGCGGGCCGGCCGCCGCGTCTCCAGACACTTGTGTCGGTGATCTGAAGACGGAGCAATGCCATGTGCCAAATAAGAGAATGTTTCCCCCAGCTGGAGCCAGCACATCATGGGAGCCCACGTGGTGCGCAAAAACAAATATGATGATAGTGCCAATGCAAATCATGTCAAGCAATGCTTGGCATCAACTGAAGATGGAGCAATGCCATGTGCCAAATCAGAGAATGCTTCCCTGAACTGGAACCAGCACACCATGAGAACCAAATGTGGCACAGAAAAACAAATATGATGATAGTGGCAATGCAAATCATGTCAAGCAATGCTTGGCATCAAAAATCTTACACAGCAGGGTACTCATTATCAGCTAATGATGGTGATACTGAAAGAAAGGTTAAGGATGGCAGAGAGGAAAAGTGCACATCAAACTGATTTGGTGAGAAAATAAATAAGCATGCCATCAGCAACACCCAAGATAGTACAGTCTAGTCAGATTTTAACAACTTGCGTGAAAGACAAATTGCAAGCCATTGCTAAAACTATGACTTGAAAGCTTCAGGGAGTAACATACTAGTGACTATATGAGATCAACACATGCTGACTGTCAATACAAATACTGATCACAACTGCCAAGGGATTGCACAACTTGCATTCAATGCAACATATTTTCTGCCTTCCACCAAACACTTTTCACAAGCATAACATTTTGTCCACCACTGGCAGAAAGCTTACAGCTGCTGTCTGATGAAACTTAATCCAAGTAGGATGTGACACCAACTGCAAAGTGTAACATTCAGGAGAGAAGACAATGTTCCAGTCAGTTTATTTCATTGCATGAATTTCAGAGGTTATTGGTTAGCTGATCAGCAAGGCAGCTTTGTTGTAAAGCTTTCAGTTGCTTCAATAACACAGTTTGTGAAGAACTGCTGTGTGTGCCCCAAAATAAGAAAACTGCGCTGTTATTCACATGATTAGTGCATCTCAACCTAGCTGCAAGGTCAGTGGAGGCAAAACTGTTTGCTTCATGCTGATGTTTATTTGGGATACCAAACCATCCACAAACAAAACAAAAGTATCACATAAAAATATCCTACAACAGCAAAAATGCATTTATGCTACTCTGAGTACCCAGTCAGAAATTAACTTAAAATGTCTGAAAGCGGTAACATTAAACAACATTGATCATAGGATATGGGAACCAGACCACAAAAACACTTGTTACACTGTACATGTCTGGTGCAGGTGCTGCAGGGAGTCACAGCCAAAATGTCAGCTCATGAACTCCATACCTTCTGGCACTCAGCCTGGCATACTGTGCCAACAATGTCAGTGCAAAGAAAGCCAGTATTGTAGGGAATTCTGATGCTGAGTAAAACAATTTGCACATTATTCCCAAAACTTGTCCATACTGAAGTCACACAAAAATGCAGCATAGTCTTGGCCTGAGCTTGACACATGCAAAAGTGTGAGATTCAGCACACTGATGTCACATCAGCATCCGGGGCAGTGAATGTTTTTTCAGGCCAGTAGGGGAACAGGGGGGCACTGAGCAGGCCACTTCACACCATTCTTTTGGAGGTCTACACTGGCGTCTGTGATGTGTAGTAATAGTGTTGCCATAACAGTGATTCAGATTCTTCATATTCAGACCTAAGGACAATATAGTTAAGCAGCATGGGCCAGAAGGAAAATAGCTGGTGCTTGCATTGCTCCTATCATTCCTGATGGTTGATATGCTGCTGGAGTGGACAGCTTGTCTATCAAAATTTCAGTCCAAAGAATGTCAGCTTTGGGTCCATGTTTCTATGTCACATGCAATACCCAGGGGCACAAAACTAAAAAGATGGGAAAGTTGAGCATGCATATCACAACACAGTATTACCTTTACCCAGAAAACTGAAAGGAGACCTTCAGTAGTGCGTGGCAGGCTCTGCTTGAAAATATCTCACTGATTCATATACCACTCACAGCCACATTTCACCATACAATTTCAAGCACCAAGACACCTTAATTTTTAAAGGTGGTGGCCAATAAAATATTTGATATCCTAAACTGCAAGTTACTTGATTCTAACAGCAAACAACTCCAGCGACGTGCTTCCCATAAAAATCACCCACGCGCCCACTCAACACCGGGGTAACAAAAGTGACAGGGGCACCCAGGACACCCAAGGCATTCCAGTACGCGCCGCGACCGCCGCACTTGAAAAAGACTTTCAAGGATTCAGAGTAACATGGAAGTGAACGTTCAAGTGAAGTGAAGTGCAGTCAAATCTTTCGGCGTTTGCCGCACCGGCGATCCCCGCCAAGAAGTCAAGACACTGGTGGTCTGGACAGCCTGTGGAGCGTGGGCCCACTCCTGATGATGACGACCACCGCGACGCCACCGCAAACGGAGGGCGTTTACGCACCTAGCCTGCACACCCTCCAAAACAGAGGGTGGTTACGCACCGGGCTTTTACACCCTCCACAAATTTTTCAGATGGTTGTGCGTGTCAAGCGTACGCGGATTGCCAGCCTTAAAGGGAAGCAAGTGCAAATATACAGAATCCCATGCGAAAAGTCGGCCCTATGCGTGATATGAGTCGAACGATCACGAAATCCATCAACTCACTCTGAGCCAGTCCTATTCTGATCACAAATTTTCGACCGCCGGGCCCGCATCTCCAGTGGCTGGATCGTTAGCACGCTGGTCTCGCAAGCGTAACCCCGGCTTCGAATTTCGAGGGTGGCCGCTGTTAAGTGGTGGCTTCATGGTCTATCGGTGTAGCGTGATGGTGCCAACTCGGTTCATTTCTAAGCGAAATTGAAGTAATCTGGGCTGTTCATACCGGACAGCAGCGTAGTTTCTAATGCCAGAGAGAGGACTGAAAATAAAGAGGACTTTGTCCCTCCAGGTGAAGGAGTCCACAACCTACAGGGATATTGAGGATCCCGTGGAGGTTGACCGTAAATCTAAATGAGGCCAGCAGCTTGTGTAAACATCAACTGAAAATGTGTCATGTATAAACATTATGTGTCATGCAATGTGCAAAATGTGTAAATATTAGTGAAAAGTTAGGTGCACACAACCCTTCCGGGCAATTGCTTAAAGATCATTCCATCCCGGCCCGGGGTGTCTACCAGCCGCCATTCTGGCGACATTGAGGCGGGTTCGCCTGATGGGTTCGTCCGGAGGCCCTCACAGATGTACGTTCTACATTGGTGCCCTCCCTGGCGCGCAAGGCCCTTTCGCAGCTTCTGGCCGGGGCATTTGACCCGGAATAGGAGCAAGAGTCTCATTGGGGCAACAAAAACTCTGATAGCCGCAGGTGATCCAATAACTGGCACAGAGACCCATGTTCGGCCAACGGACCCTGGGCTAAAACGGGGTGAAGGGCCCCGCAAGGGCCCCGAGTCACCTCTGGCCGAGTTCGGACTCATTCTGCCACAGGAGCCCCTGTTGGACACTCTGGGGGTCTGACCGTCCAAAGACCACTCACTGTTGTAGGGACTCCCACCAATGCAAATCGCGGGCCTCGGTCTCGTTCCTGCTAGGGAAATGGGGCCCCAGGGCTCAGAACAACACCAAGTCAACTATTTGGTGTAGTGGTCTCCGGCCGAAATAGGTAGTGGTCTCGGGCCGGAAAAAAACTGTCCCAAAGGTTCACAATCGGCGAAAGAGGCATACTGGATGACATTTGGGCTCACAGCCATACGGGCCAGGATGACCTGCAGCCTTTCGACCCTTACGGCCTTCGCATCGGCCCGTTTATCGTCAGTCTTGAAGGGCACATCGGTCCCTTTTCAGACACCCTCGTAGACTCTCTGACCAACTCGGGGGCCGTTGTCAACACCGGACCAACCGGCCAAACAGGTGCAGTTTTTGCAGCCAAACAGGCCACAAAGAACAGTTGTAAGCGAAAGTGAAGGGCCTATGAGAAGTCTTGAAATTACTCAATGATTGGAAAAGCTGTTAAGTGGAAATTTTAAGCCCCATTACACCGTCTAGGGGCCCATGCTGTTTCCGGGGAACCTATATGCCCCTTGCAGGTTTATTTCGGTCGTTTAGGAGCATTCCACGTTGTCCTTTTTTTAGGGCCCCCTGCACCCTGGTTTCTCCCAGTGTTCGAATTTAGGGCTCTCTGCCTGTATCGGGGTCATCTGATAACCTGTTCGGGTATACTCCATCTTTCCGGGCCCTCCGCATCGGGTTTTAGGTGTTTATTATTAGAGTGGAGGGCCTTAAGCTCCTGTCTGGGCCCCCATCTGACAAGATGCTCGGGCACATTCGAACGTTGGGGACCTCTACATCTGGTTTTAGGCACTTCCTTTTCTATTGTAGTGCCCTCCGCTCTTTTCGGGGGCCCTGTTTGTTAACCTGTTCTGGAGCACTCGGTTATTCGGGGCCTTCTACATCGTGCCGTAGGTATTTCATATTTGAACGGAAGACCCTACGCTCTTGCCGGAGTCCCATCTGTTAACCTGCTCGGGCGCACTCGAATATCCGGGGGCCATCCACATCGTGTCTTGGGTACTTCCTATTTGAATGGAGGGATCTGCGCACTTGTCGGTGACCCCATCTGCCCTCCAGCCTCCCTCTTTGCCCATATTGGATTGTTCGGGGTCCGATAAATTGGGTCTTGGTGTTTGAATTTAGGCCCCTACACTCCTGTCTAAGTCATCTGATAATCTGCTCGCGTATACTCCATCTTTGGGAGGCGCTTCGCACTGGGTTTTAAGTACTTCTTATTTGAATGAAGGGCCCTGCGCTCTTGCCGGGTTCCTTCTAATACGCTACTCGGGCACATGACATCCTTCTGGGGCTATTTACTTAGGATCTTCAGTGCTTCCCATTCGAATGGAGCGCTTTACGATGTTGTTGGGAGCCCTATTTGTTAACCTGCTCGGACACACTCGATCATTCGGGGGCCCTCTATACTGGGTCTTGGGTGTTTCCTATTTCAATGAAGGGCCCTACGGTTTTGACCGGGCCCTTAATGCTAACTTGCTCTGATACACTGGATCATTCGAGGGTCCTCTGCATTGGGTCTTGAATGTTTCCTTTTTAATGGAGGGTCCTACGCATTTTTGGGGAGCGTTATCTGTTAACCTGCTCGGGCACACTCGATCATTCGGGAGCCCTCTACATTAGGTCTTGAATACTTCCTATTTGAATGGAGAGCCCCAAGCTCTTGACGGGGGCCCTATATGTCAACCTGCTCGGGCGCACTCGATCGTTCAGAGCTCTACACATTGCATCGTGAGTGTTTTTTATTTGAATGGATGGCCCTATGTTCTTAGCGCTTTACAGTATGGGCCCCGTTTATTCAGCTGCTCGGGCCGGCAACGGATGCAGAGGGTGCGGAGGGGAGAGACAGGATCATTCCTGTGGACCATACCGAGGGAACATAAATTTTTCGAAGGGGCTGATAACCGGCCGGACGGACGCAGTTTCCTTACAACAAAAACACAACAAAATTGGAGGTATTTGGGCCTACAGATGACCAAGAACCATTGTTAGCAAAAGTAAAGAGTTCATATGTAAACGAAGTTCATTCTTCACTGACTGAGAGAGTGCTGCTTGGGGGAAATTTTGTGGCTTATTACGCTGTCTAGAGGCATTACACTCTGGGCTGCCTGTCTCTATATGTCCATTTGCAGCGTCAATCTGATCGCTAAGGAGCTTTCCACGTTACCATTGGTTTCTTCCCATGTTTTCGCAGGGCCCAATGTGCTGTTGGGACGGTATCTGCCTCCATGCTTGAGCACTGTTGATCAATCGGGTTCTCCTCCACGGATTCTTCCCATTCGCCCGAAAAGCTACATGCACTTTTTCCGGGGTCGCATATGCCAGAGTACAATTAGTTGCTAAGAGGCCCTTCATATAAATTTCTGGTACCGTCTACTTGCTTGAAGGGCCTTGTGTTGTTGCTAGGGCTCTTATAAGGTAAGGCACGGAGACGCTCGATGCTCAGCGGCTCCCTACTTTGATCGGGGGCTTTCTCCCTTCGGTCTCAGTTGCGGCTGACTTTTCGCTCCTATCGAGACTCGTGCTGTTAACCTGCCCGTGCACTCTTGATTGCACAGGGGTATTGGTTTATAGTGTTGAATAATCCCCCTTTGCCCGGAGGGTCCCGTGCTATGACCGGGGCTTCATAGGTCTGCCTGTCGAGACACTACTGATCGTTTAGGGGCCCACCACGTGGGCCCACCACGTACGCCCACCACGTTGGCCCACCATGTGAGTTATTTTTGCTTGCTCTGAGGACCCTATACTTGTTGGTCTCCTGCGGCACCCATGACCGCTCAGGCTCCGTCCCTATTGGCCTTGGTTCTCCTCGCCTTTGAGCAACAGTCGAATACGCGCCGATGAATTTTTATGCGCGATTGCCGAACTTAATTATGCATGCCTCCGCCGTCGTATGAGTCATTTTCACTGACTATCCAATGTGTCACACTCATTTAGATTTACGGCCAACCTTCACTTCAACCAATCTCAATGTCTCTGTAAGGTGTGGACTCCCCCCCCCCCCGTAGCATTAGAAACTATGGTGCTGTCCGATATGAAAAACCCTATTTAGAACTTATCCCGCTTAGAAGTGAGCCGAGCTGACATCATCACGTCGCGCCGGTGGACCATGAAGCCACTCACTTAACAGCGGCCGTCGTCGAGATCCGAACTCGGACTTACCACGTGCGAGACCAGCACGCTAACCATCCATCCACTGGAAATGAGGACCCCGAGGCCGAAAATTTGTAAATACACTAGAAATGGTTCAGCGTGAGTTGATGGATTTCGTGGTCGGTGATGTCTATCACGCACGTCTATTAGGTCTAGAACCAACTTTTCGCACGAGATTCAGCATTTTTGCACTTTCTTCCCTCCAAGCCTGCCAATCCGCGTATGCTTGACACGTACGACCATCTGAAATATTCTTGGAGAGTGTATTAGCCCGATACGTAACGACCCTCTGTCTCGGGGGTGATATAGCCC